TTTTGTTTCTTGTATACCACATCACATCCATATATGTCTATATATGTCATCATAATATTATTAATAACTTCATGAAATACTTTATTCCTTTTTCGGATAACGTCTCCTCATTTTGGTTTCCTGAAGGTTATTTCAGCTCTGATGGCTGGGGAAATGAAGTGATCAGACACATGCGTAAGTACTGCTTTCTAGTGCCACCATGTGGGAATATTAAACGGAGCACCTCACTGCATCAGGAAAATGACTGAACACCCTGTACTGCCAATTATCCTGTGCAGTTTTCTGTGGAATCCCTGTCCAGGAAAGTGCCACGGGCTGAGTGTGTGGTACTTTTTAGGAGGTTAATCCTGCAGGAGGCCGAATCAATGAGTCACATTTATTCACATTTGATATAAATGTCAACATTTACACAGAGGCTCGTTCTTGTCACTGAGGCCCCATGGTCATTAATAACCATATACGACTGTGATTTCTCACCATGTAGTATTAGTTACTGTTTCCAGTGCAATACTGACAGTTTTTTGTCTTAAAGGAATTTTTAAATGCATTCAGCTCCAGACCTACAAACCCCCTTCCTGCCAGAAAAGTATGTACACGTATAAACTATCAAAAAGTTACTTGTTAATTTAATTTAACCTTTGTGTCAGAAAATTCCAAGACAGAATATTAAAATATTAGGTAAAAGTTGTAGGTGAAATTAAATTAGTCCTACAATTACTGGTAAAAATGACTAATTCTAGTAGTGTTTCAACCTCAGACACAAATTAGTGTCATCAGTATGATCTTCACAAACCAGTCATGTGACCAGATGAGGGAAGTCATGGCTGGTTTCTTATTCTTTTATGTAACAAATCCTTTAAGACGCACTGAGCCGACCAAAGAAAGCGACTTATGTACAAAGGAAAACAGCTCGGCGAGGCTCAGCTGCTCACGTGCTGACAACATGTCTACTGGTCTGGACAGAATCAGAGAAGAGTTTTAGGGTTAAATCCCTTAACTTTAAAAACCAAACTACAGCCATCTTCCTTCTAAATTTGAATACTGTGCAGCACGATAACCACACTTGTAATTAGTCACCAAATGAGGAGAAGAACTGTATGACAGATTAGAGCAGAGCAAAGAGGCTGTAACAGGCTCTGGGAGACAAGTGTTGATGAAGGAGCCGCAGTGAAGTGATAGAGTCGGGGAAAGTCAGGCAGAGAAAGGCAGCGGGAAAGCAGTAGAAGATAGTTTTATTCCATAATTACTCCCCTCTTCAACCCCCCTAGATAACTCTGTCTGGTTGGTGTGCAGGTCAGCAGCACACAGTGTCTGGATGAGGAGCTCAAGGGCAGTTTAATCCCACTTTCCTGCATGACTCTGCCTTAGCAATAAATTCAGAAGAAAGCCACAGTATTTCACACTTTCAAGCACTGTATTGCACTGTATTTATCTATAAATAAATACATATAAATATAGATAGATAGATAGATAGATAGATAGATAGATAGATAGATAGATAGATAGATAGATAGATAGATAGATAGATAGATAGATAGAAATGTATATATTCTGGCCTTATTTTACCTCTTAATAGAATCACTGTCAAACTGAAACTCTACATTAAAAAAAGTTTGAATCTCAGACACTGTACGTGATCTTGGGCATTAAACATTAATAAAACATTTTTCCATTTAATGTCAGCCTTGCGTTCTCTCATATATACACTTGACCTGAACCACGGTCCCTGCGACTGCGTGAGGCTGAGTCAACAACCCACCGAGTCGGGCTGCTGTGTGTTGTCATCGGAATGAAAAATGTTCTCGGCACATGAAAACATTCAGTTAGTATTTCACGTGGAAATACAAATGGAACGCTTCCAAACCCTCGTTTTTCTGTGAAACAACAGAACACTGTGTCTGAAGGTTTTCTGATGGAGGATGCATTTGGAGATAGGAACATTTCTATCAATAAGATGGCCTGATAAGGTGCAAACACACACACACACACACACACACACACACTGGCCTTCCCACATTGAAGGACATGCTTTTCAAACACGTCTAGTGGAAGAAAACAACATATCTTAGGGTAGCTGTTCTGCAGTGCACAGGACTCCAGTCAATAGGTGTTTTTTAGATAAAGTAAAGTAGTTCTGTCTGTTATGGCCAGACTATTTTTAATCACAAAAATACAGGAAAGGGACAAGTTAGGAAAAACCTGAGGCTTTTAATGAGACTGTTATTGTCGTTAACATGTTGCTATAGCAACTATCAATTTGCTACATTCAACCATTAAAAAAAGATGTTGTTTCAATACAGCATGTAGTATGCACAAACCCCTTAGTAGTTTAGGTTAATTGCTAAAGCCAGGTTATGATATCTAAGTGGACTTTTGAATGATCTTTAACCAAAACAACTCAGATGTAGCTGCTGCTTCAGGAGCTCCACAAGTTCCTTTTTTTTTTCTTTTGTTTAAATTTCAGACACACATCCTGAAAATGAACTCAACTTCAGTGGTTTTTATGGGTCTACAGCAAATGACAAATCTCTACAACAGTATGAAAGTGTGACATCTAACAACTTGTTAAGCACTGAAACTTAGGCAGCAAAGCAGGAAATACTCCATGCGAAAATGTACCGATAATGTTACATATGTCATAATGTTAACGGCCTGAGGCTACTGCTGAAATTAACTGCTGAGACACAATGTTCTTTAAGTATTTAAGTGGTTAAGTCACACCTTTCACCTACAGTGGTTATTTTATGGCTTGCTGTTAATCCACTCGACATGTGGTTAAATGCAAAGTTATACTCTGCATGGAAGCTGCATTAGATGGAAATGAAGTGTGTTTCAACAAATGGACTTATTTGGCCTGAACTTTCTCTCTTGTATAGGTATTTCTTTGTATATATTTACATATACACATATATACTGTATGTACTGTAATAGATATACATTTCATATATATATAAACAGTATGCAATCTAACATTTCTAAGTTATGCATCTACCCCACTCCTAACTACAGTACTCATAGAAAGTGCAAGTTAAATTCCTTTTAATTGCTAAATGAACTACTATATGAGGTTCCTTTACCAACCGATCAAAACTATGAAAGCTTCATAGCATTACATTCAGCAACCAGTAGGAGGAGGCACATGCTTTCCCTTTCAACTTTCTGACCCAGTTCCAACTATGAGCCTGGAACATTTTGTTCTAGTCTCATCCATCGTGCCTGGTTTTCTTACACCAGGCACTAAGTGTTTTAAGCAGCTTAAAGGCCGACACCTCTGATGAAAGAGAACATATTTCATAACCTTGGTGCCAGGATTGTAAAAAATGTCCTCTTCTTCTTAAACAGTAGATCTAAAAGGATGAGGACTTAGAAGCTGAATGAAAAAAAAAACAAAAACTGTCTGATTTGTGCCCAGCAGAAAACAGCATTTACCAATGTTAAAGCACAGTCAAAATGATTTCATCATTAAGCCTTTAAATGTGTAAAAGATTTAGTTTACTTTAATGCATTTCAACAGATTTGATTGTTCCAAGTTTGCAGGAGCTGATTCAGCAAAAAAAAAAAAGTGTGCAAATATGTACTGTATATATAAACACTATATGTGCTATAGATACATTAGGGTGCAGTGGCCCAGGAATATTAGCACTTGGAGTAGGAATCTGGGACAGAGATTGAAAGTGTTCTGGAGCTCTGCAGTAGTGCAAATAAATCTGGTGAAAGTTTGTAAAAGTTACCTGTGCATTTGTGTGTGTGTGTGTGTGTGTGTGTGCGTGCAGGCAGGTGTCCTTATCTATGCTGCCGATCAAACAGCAGAGCTCAGAGTGTGCTCTTGCCTTGTGAGTCTACGTGATGTTTTTTGTTTGTGGTGTTCACGATGGTTCACAGCTGTCACTGAACCTGACATTTAAATGTGTCATGCTGGTACAGTATGCTAGTGACGCAGTTCTACATCTGCATGTGATTTCACTGCACCTCATAACACTCACGTTTGTGTGTCGTATGACACAGTACTGTGTATGTGTAAGACAGATAAATATTGTAAATATGAGGTATTTTCTCTTTATTTATGACATGCCATGTCAGCCTTGTGGTGATAAACAAGTTTGGATGCAACAACTGTAAAAAACAAACAAACAAAAAAAAAATATAATCCATTTAGATTGTTGCCTTAATGTCAAAGAAAATAAAAGAATTATTTTCCATTCATGAATTCCTCCATTCATTTATTCATTTAAATTAAGCAGCTTTGCTTTTAGGTTAAATCCCAAAACGGTAAATGATCATGAAAATGAGGTTCCAGCAGATGCTCAGTTGGCAGAATTTCTCTCTGGGGAAGATGTTTAAGCTGAGCAAAGTCACTGATGGTACGTCTGTGTGGGAACCAGGGTATCGCAGTGACACCTTTGCATAAGGCAGACAAAGCAGTCAGAAGACTAATACCAGAGCTGGACAAAATATAGAGAGCAGCCACCACTAAGGTCTTAGCAGTCAAGTTAAACAGCTGCCTGTTTTGGCAGCATCACTCATGATGCTGAAAAAAAAGTTCAGATGAAACATAGTAAAAATGAAAAATTAAAACCCGAAAAGCAATTAATTTCCATTGTCTTTGTGGCAATCCTGTAATGCATGCAATAATGTGTTTCTATGCTGAACAAAGTTGTTTCCTGTCCAAACACAAGTCTCGTAATAAAACTTGCTTCAATATTTTAAATTGTCTTTTTTTTTTTTTTCAACATCAACCCTTCTGTGGCTGATCGGCAAAGTGTAAGCCGCCGTTTTGAGAACACGCTGTCCTTGGTTGGTTATTACAAAAGGAAGTGTCTGAAAACCACGAACACACGCATTTGACTGTGCACACTCATACACCCACAAGAGCCTTCACGTACAGAAAGCCACCTTTTAAAAAGAATGTCACATTTCTGTAGATACTGACAAGAATGTAAGCTGAAAAGACTCCATCGTACGTTCAATTGGTAACTTAGTGGCCTTTGGTGAGTTAAAAACCTTGATGAGTTTTTAATGTAACTGTGTAAATGGCACATTGTAGTCATTTAAAACAGGGGGCAGGGGGTTGAAAAGATGATTGGCGTTGTTTTTTTAAGAAATTGGTTATATAACTAGAACACTTAATGAATTAATTTAATCAGGCATGATTGTTGATTTTATAGAACACGCCGTCCTTGGTTGGTTACAAAAGGAAGTGTCTGAAAACCATCATAACACACGCCTGCGTGTGCTCACTAACACACCCACAGGAACCTTCACCTACAGAAAGCCACCTTTAAAAAAGAATGTCACATTTTGTAGATACTGACATGAATGTAAGCTGACTTGTTCAATTGATAACACAATGGACTTTGGTGAGTTAACTGTGATCAATTCATGAATGTAACTGTGTGAATGGCAAAATGTAATAATTTTAAAGAAAGGGAGAAAAAATTATATTGTTAAAAATATAATTGTTATTTTTGAAAAAAAAAACCACTTGAATAAATTTGATCAGGCAAGATTTGATTTGATTTTTCCATTTATGATGGTCCCTCAGGACAAGGCCTTGTATCACAATAGGAAAAAATGCAATAAGGTGACTGCAGAAGAAATTAAGTTTTTTTTAACAAATTATTTCTCACTTTTATTGACTGCCGATCCCAAATACTATTGTAGCATGTTTTACACAAGGTTTACTTCACATCACCTGCTGCTCTAGAAATAATTTTCTCCACAATCGCACACGTAAATAAAGAATAATTACAGACATGCGAGTTTCCTGCTAGGAATTCATTTTTCTTCAAGGATCATTAATCTTTCGTCAAAGTGACTTGGGCAAGTTTTGCCAGAGGGAGAAACTATCAACATTATAATAACAGAGTTCGGAAATGACTTTCCTGGTACATGTTCTGCAGTAAGCAGCAGGTTCGCTGTGTCACATTGGGTTTTTGTTTACAAACCCAGCAAAATGAAAACCTGTAGCAGGATTTAGGGAACTTAAAACACTACATTGGATACATCATACACTAAAACTTGCAACGGTCTAATCATGATGGAATCATTTCTGGCATTAGGAACCATAAAAAAACATATAGATTCATCAATGGTCCCCTACTTCAAACAGCAGCGAAGGTTGAAACTGGCAGACTGAATTGACTATTGTGAAAAGGGAGACTTCTATAGTCAGACTCCCCTATGGAATGCTAGCTAGATGGCGATCTGTACAGAGCGCTCCTAACTTTGGGATGTTGTATAATCTCTGAACAGTGCTAATTATATCAACACAGATACACAATATGTGACCTTTTGACATTTTTATATCAGAGGTCTTGCTCAAGTCATATGCCTAGACTGCAAGGTGATCTCCCACTGTGCATTTGGAATTATTAAACAAATATATCAGCAAAATATAAATAAGTTTGATATTGTCAAAACAGTGATTCTAATATATGGACATTCTTAAAGAACCAAAAATAAAATGACGTTTTTAGAAAATTTGGTTTTGTTCACTAATTGTATTGTTTAAGCAATAAATCATCTAAAAAGAGAAGGCGAGATTCAGATGATGATGATTGATCCTTGGTTGTTGGAAAATGTCCCCATGTGGAGGTTGGAGGCAGAAAGGAGCTCGTACACCCACATGCAAAAACACATGCACAGGTACGCGCATACAACACAAACAAGACTGGTGAATCATGGCAGCTGTAAACCCTAGATGCAGATCTACATAAACAGTGATGGCACGCAAGCAGTTGTCTGGGCATGGTGCCAGTCTGTAACAGTGAAAAAGTAGAACTGGTGTTCCAGGGACGAATAAGGTCACGCTTCATCTGTGTGTGCATGTGTGTGTGTGTGTGCGTCTTTTTCTAGTCAGCAGTTCTTACAAGCACCGGTGGTAGTGTAAAGGAAGAAGCATTAAAAAGGACACTGCCAAATCGAAAGGCAAATTTAATGGCAGACATTCAGTACGTTTGCATAGTTATAGATAAGGTTTAATCGATTTCAAATTAGGGACATTTTGGGTAGCAATTATGTCCACACTTTAGTGGATAATACAAGTCTCCACCTAATTTGTGTATTGTAAAATAAATTCCGGTAACAATTGCAATACAAATAATGAAACTCACTTTGGTTTTGTGGGTGGGGCGGGTTCAGTGTTATTTCATTAAACTGTTTCAAATATTTAAGAATGGGCTGCTTTAGATACAACCATATGGGATCTCAAGACATTTCAAGATTCAAGGTCACTAATGCTAAGTGTTGGGTTGGAAACGTGGGTTTACAGTAACTCAGAAATGAAGCAAGTGATGCCTTGAATTAAAAATGTACCCAACATGGAGTATGTGCATTAAAAGTGTCTGCTCAGAACTGCTGTCCAAGCCATTTCTTGGACAGCTCTGTAATATGTGAACGTGAGGCTCAGGCCTCTAGAGGGCCTTCTAATCCCACATATACTCCTCTATGAATTTGTAGTAATGTTGCATCAGCGTTTCAGAGTTGACATGTGAGATTTTTCTATGCAGTATTCAGTCCTTTGCTTATACAACAATGGCAGAGCAAAAATCTGCACCGCAAAAGGTGTATCCTTTTCACATGCAGCACATTTCTACATGTGTTTTCCCACTGGCCAAATCTAAAAAACATCAGAACACACGTCATGAATGAACCAGGTGTGAAATTGAATGAATGTTTTTTAATGGCAAAAACACAAATATTTAATTTGTTTTTCCATGTTTTAAAAAGGCTGAGGGAAAAAAAACTACAGGGTTGGGTTTTTAATGACATGAAACAGGTGTTTACAAAGCAGTCTCTTGTTCTTTAAGTACTGCAGAAAAACTTTATGCGTGCCAGCATGTCATTACCACAACTTTTTCTCAATATTCCTCAAATATGGAGCAAGCAAAAATGTTTGCATCTGCTTCATGTCTACTACAGTCCCTGCGGATTTAGTGGACTGTTGAGAGCTGGTCATCCAAAACGACAAAGCAGAATTAAGATCTGCTGCATTAAGATCTCAATGCTAAAATACATTCATTCCTGTTGCTAAGCATATGTGACTGTATTACCTCTGAGATTTTGTTTGTTAAAAATCAATAATGTTCCAGGTTCTGTAGCGACTTGGCCACTGTCTTCACAACAACATACCCCCAGCTGCCAGCAGTTCTTTCCCTTAAACACAAACCAGCCTGGCTGTGATTTAACAACATCCATAAAGCTACTTTTTGGGTAGCAATCTCACCCAATCTGTTTTAATTTGTTTGCCTTTTAGTGTTCCCATTGGACACTCCTCTTTCTGGCAGCCAATAAAACTGTGGCCCAGAATTTAAGTCAAGCTGCTCAAAAAAAAAAAACAAACAAAAAAAAAAAAAAAAACACATTTTAGTTGCAACCAAAAGTCCATGAGACTGAACTTTTTGTTATAAAAAGAAATGGGTACAATAAAGCACTGAAGGACATTTTGTCCACTGGAAACCCCCCCACTGTTTCAGTTTCTCTTTAAGAGACATTGGTATATCATGTGATGAGGTACTGCATTGGTTTTAAGTCACACGCAGATTAGGTAATGAAAGTAGAACAAATCGAGCGCTTTTATTATTTTGGAGGAACTAGGTTATTGGCTTGAAAAAACACATGTGACCACCACAGCTTGAATGCAGATGAGCTGCAGAATAACATGGGCCACTGTATACCCAAAAGGTCTACTCACTTGATTAATAAATTGAGTTAAGTGCATGGAGATATATACATATATATCCATCATTTGGATTAATTACACATAAATATAGGTGGGAAACACATTCATCCCCTTTATTTTACTGATCGCAATTAATTGAGATGACGATCAAAATGAATAATAACAATAATAATTAATGACAACAATCATGATTATTTCCAATCTTGATTAATCATTATTCACATTTACTTTCTATCATGATCATCAACTGTCATGTGATTAAACAGTTGTTTGTTTTGGTTTGACAGGCCTACAAATAAATAGTTTCCTACATTAAAAACACAAATTGCGAAAGACAACTTCTCACAGTCTGACATGAATCTTCCACACATTTCAACAGAGAAATGTTGCGCCAGTTTGATCCCTTATTGTAAAATATTTCTTAACCACAAAAAATGCTATTCCCAACCTGCTAACAGCAGTGTGATATTTTGTTAGAGTGATTTTCATCACAGGAAGCAGAGCTGAGGGTTGGGCCCTCGGGGTTTGAGTCGTTTTGCCACGTTTCTTGATTGCTTTTAAAGATAGAGGAAGTTTGTGGTCACAAAAAAACCTACACTGGTGTCTCTAATCTGTACATCACGGCAACAGGGCGTGATGAGAAACTGCCCTACACTGTTACCTTAGTCACATGGTCCACTTCCGCATTTTCTGGGGTATAAGAGCATGATGAGTTATTCTTGAGCACACATTTTGCAAGAGTGTAGGAATCGTAACGGTGTTAAGTCTCAGGGCCTACTCCAGTGTACAATGCAAGTAAAGTGTTTATTGTGAGTTGAATTTCTTCATTTAGCAGAATGGTACAAGGGTAAAACACAGCGATGTTAATTAGTTAATTTTATTATATTAAATATCTTTTGTTGTTAGTTTAGGAAGCAGATGAAATAAAATGAAACCTCCTGTCTGTTGACCATAAGATGCTTTCTGGAGAGAGGCACCAATTGCACAAAATATAAAAACATACGTTAACACATATATAGTGTGTTTACATGGATTAAGGGTGGTAGGTGTGTGTGTGTTTACTTCTGCCCCTATGATTATGAGATTGTGTGTATGCACTTCCAGGCTGCTGTTTACTTTTATATACTTTAATTCTCAGTTCTGCAACTTGCAAGTGCAGCACAAACCTAGAGACACAACGCCCCATGTTGCCTTTAAAATTATGCGTAAACCGAGTTTTTTAATCTCTTGACTTCATTCCACCAGCCCTAAAGCACATTCCTAAGAAAACATATTTCATTCTTTGACCTTTATTCTCTCTGCAAATAGCAAAAAGTGTGAGATTTGTTCACCATAATTGCAGAAATAAACCCTCAGGAGCTCAACTTAGACTTCCACAAAGTCCTTTTGTTTGTTTGTTTTTTATTCCTTTTGTATAGCTTGTATAGCTGTCAACAAACCACCTGTTCCCCAAACACCTTTCAACATATTATATTTTATTTTTAAAAACAACAGGTCAGTGAAAATACATTTTAAAAGATCATTTTTGTCTCCTTTAGGTACAAATTATCTCTCAGAAAATATAATACACATGTGAAGACAACCAGCAAAACTAACTTTGGTTGCAAAAAACAAAACCGACTTCAACAGAGCAGTAGGTTTACATTTTTACATAAATGAGTCAACATTTACTAACATATCGTTCTGAACTGAACAGTGTCTCCTGTCACTACTACAACATTTCATGCATGTTGTTGGTTCTACAGTGACAAACAGAGGGCAACCTATTTATAAGGTAACACTCTCAACACTTTAGTTGATGGACTCTGTCTCACTCCCTGCCACTGCTTTAAAGACGCCCTTCTTTCAGACCTGCTCTCTTGCCCTACCTGTGCAGCCAGACACAAATATCATCACCTTGGTCCCTGCCCTGCTGGCCTGGGCTGGCTGTGGAACTTGCTCTGCTCAGACCTGCTGTGATTATAAGAAAGTAAAGATAAAAATATTAAGGGCAGAATTTGTTTTTTATTATTATTACTAAATGTCAAATATAAGTCAATAATTAAAATGAATTTGTGTTGTAGTTTTTGCTGCATTTAAAAGCAGTGTACCAGTTGTTTTTTTTTAAATGGGTGTAAAGGTTGGACTTTGCACAGCCAAACTCTCAAGGCAACTGCAATTCCAATATGCACACCTCACACACACACACACGCACACAAACAACTCATGTTCTCACCTGCAGCCTCACTGGTCTGAACCGGCTTCTTTACTGCCAGACTCTATCAATCGGCCATTTGTTTTTTTCACCTGTCTACAAACGTTATGTAACTGGGAGCAAGGTCACAACATCTCCAGCAGAGCAAACATTAGTCTCTTCAGTTCCTCCTCCCATTTAAAGAGCAGCACATTAATTCCTGTGTTTCTGTTACAAAACCATACATAAATGTGTGCAAACACGTTTTACTCCAATCACCACACAAAAAAGAAAAGAAAAAAGAAAAGTATATCAATATATGCACTTCACACTCACAGTATAATAATTAACACATTGAAATCAAATATTAATAAAATCCAATAGAACACAAGATTAGTGAGAAGCCGGTTTCTGAATAACCCACAGTTTGTAGGACACCACGGACACATCATGGGTTTCAGGATTTATGCTCCAATTTTCAAACTGTGAGAAGTCAATGTTTGAAATATTTGGGTCACACTTTTGATCCACACACACTGCAGTTCTTTCCATACATATGTCAAATACCTCCCATAGGTCAAGTCTGGCTGTGAGAGGGACACACGAGTGCATCTGACCGACTTTTCAACCACAGTGTCCTCAGATTCAAGTCATTTACGATAATGAGTTGAAAGAAAATGACAACTAAACTAGTGAAACATTTTGGTCCACAACTAGCATTTGGTAGTTTCTCCTGTGTTAATAAAATTCCACAGAACTTTTGTATGTGTTGCAGTTTTATTATTATTACTATTTACCCTGGAGCAAGGGTCTCAAACTCCTGGCCTCTGGCTCACTTTCGGCCCACGAACCACCCACACGTGGCCCACAACTCAGTCCTCTGCCCTGGAGAAAAATCCAACATTTGACCCTGGCATTCCTCAGACAGGTTCATGGCCCGGTACATGTGGAAAGTGCCAGAGCTGCAACCCCTACTGCCTTTGTGTGTTTATTTATTTAATACACTGGTGGCTATTTTTTAGTTAGTTCCCAGTCTGACATTAAAAGACGAACTGGCCTTCAAAAACATCATCCATCAGGGGTTTGTTTTTGTTTTTTTCTCATAATGTCCGTCCATTTTAACTAATGGTTGTTTTGCAGGTGTCTCTCTGCAGGAGGTGTTGCTGGAAAGGGCTGTGACTTGTTCCTAGTCGGATATAAAGCATACTGAACGAGTGAGCAGCATGTACCGGACACACACAGGGCTGTTGGTTGTCTGGAGCCCAGGAATTAATCCATGTGTCAGTAGGAGTTCATAAGGGCTTAGAGGCGGGATACTGCCTATTTACAGTAGGCAGAGCTCTAATGTCCTAAAAGAGTTGGTGTGGCATACAGTAATGTTCTTCTGCATAGGAACACGTGTGGGCCACACCAAAGCCATGTGATTATGTGGTGATGATGTTCATTCATGTGGAATGTTGACAGAGAATGAATATTAAATGCATTTTGTGACTTTTAACTGCATTAAGTTGTGGTGGAAAGAGGTTTGTTTTTTACTGGCATCAGTCAGATGCACTTACAAGGATTTGAAAACTCTATAAATGTTGCTAATTCCCACTCCAAACTCCATTTTGATTTTTTTTTTTTTTCTCAGCCCATGACCAAACTTTTTCAACATTGCCACTAACTTTTCTCCAAACTGCCCAACTGGAAAGCTGTTGTTGGTATCTGATTATTTTCAACGTTCATTCAGAATGTCAGCATCTTCACCTTGAGTCTACTAAAAAGTACAGCTCATATTAACAGATTCCATTATTGTATTATACCGTCTTTGTGGTCTCGCTGCTACAGTATCCACAATCCATCCATTCTACCCTTTCCGCACTTTAATGTTAAACAAAGTTGCCAAACATGTGCTCTGTTATGAATATGCAATTTGCAGATAAACATTAATAAATATTAAGAAACGTCATCAACATGTCATGCTTTGTATCCAATTAAAGGAAGAAAAACAGAAACGTAGCGTCACACTGTATATAAAATGTCAACAAAGAATTTCCAAAACCACAAAAAAGAACGCACCACAGCGGGTGGCAAAAACAAACAAAAAGGGCTTTCGCTTACTTTTAACAGATCTTCCGTTTTCCAGTCCACGTGTTTGCTCTCTCAGGTGATGTTCCCAAAGGTATCTCTGTGTTAGTGGCCCAGCTGATGGAATGCATGGCAGCATTTTGGCAGCAAAAACTGCGTTCAGACATTTGGTCATCATGATCTGTTCCGGTCCATTTCTGCCGTTGAGATCCATAATCCATTACGATCGAAAATGTGCCTCCAATGTGTTTGTTGACATGCCCAGAATGACATGCAAGGCTCACCTGGAGTCAGATCTACTGCTGCTACCGCTGCACCTGCTGCTGTCATTAGTGATGCTTGTCTCTTGTAAAGTGCGGCAATCGAGAGTGTTGACTCGATACTACGTGCAAAAGCAAAGTATGAAAAATATTTGTTAATACGCATAAACAAAGAGTTGTACACTTTAGGTCGACCGCTGTTGACGTACGGTTACTTATAAAACCTATGTTCTTTTTCATTTTTTTTTTATTTCTATTTTGCTTAACTGATCAGGATATTTTAGTCATAGTTGCCTGTCAGTTTGTAATGCAATGTTAATTCAGTAGTAGTTTCCATTCATTGACTTTACAAACCAAGATTCATTTTGACTCCCTGACAATTTGTCCATTAAAATATTATGATCATGTTTTTGGTTGTTTTGTTTATTTTTTTATTATTATTATTATTTATTTTATTTTTTTGGTTAATGTAAATCTTGTAAGGCAGTTTAAAAACAGTCAAAAGACTCAACCATCTTATCTCTCTATCCCTGGTTAGCTCATGACAGGAAGGTGAAAAGGCTGGGCGTTGGTTGCTGTGATCCTTTTTCCTCAGATCTGCACTTCCCGGTAACTTTTGAATTGGGTATTTTTTCTGCCCCCGGGTATCTAATCACCCTTGCCAAGGGCTGGAAATCAAATGTTGATAACAAGCGTCATCAGGGAAAGGCTTGGGTCCAACACTGGAAAGAAATCTTTTCTGACTGCTGTTGTGGTTCGGCTGCAAGTTGACAAGAACACAACCACAGATATTTAAACCTGCAGCGAAACGAATGAATAACTGTCTCAAAATGTTACTTTTATAAAGTGTGTTTCTGAGCAGTTTAAACACAAATCTTGCTCAATTGTGCACTGCAACCTGAAATGTGTTTCCGTTGTAGCACCTAGCTGAAATTCACACAACACATACTGCACAGGGCCATAAAACATCTATCTTTATCTTGCACCTGTACAGTATGGATTATGTTTCATTTTTATGTAACAGTGGATAAGGCCAAAGATGGTAATGTATCACAAAGTAAAACAGCACAATCTTTACTGAAAAAAAAAACAGAAAAATATTCAAGCAGGTAAAATGTATACAATAAAATATAATTTCTCATATAAACATAAGACACATTTTTGCTTCTCCGGCGTTAGCCACTCCTCACAGTGGAAATGGGCACAGCAGGAAAAAAGGAGCAACTTCCTGGATGAACTCCAATCAGGAAGCTGAGTCTCTCTGTGGCCCGTTTGTGCATGCATCCCACAAAAAATGGGTTGGCTTGTCATATTTTATGTTCATCTAGTTGTCTTAAATGTCCAAAGATAATCGGAGCAGAACGCTGTGTTCGAGTTGACCCAAACATGTTCAACGAGTCTAAACAAACGTTGGAGCAAGACTTACACAGTCAGGTTTCTGCTCCAAGTACAAGTCAGGACTTATATGGAAGTCCTCCTTCTTTCTATGTTAGTGTGTGTGTGTTTGTGTGTGTGTGCACGCATCAATTAGCAGTGATCTGATCTTATCTGACAAAACAAATGCTGGATGACTGGTAATGGAGATGTTCTGCTCACCTGCAGTGTCCATGTATCAACACGTGCACGTGCATGAGGTAAGGCAGGGAAGGTGGATCTCACACACACATACACTAACACACACACACAGGAATGACACACAGCCATAAATTACTCGACTGACTTGTTAGTGATAGATAAAGTGTTGTTTTGTACATAGATTTGCTAAACAAATGTGACATTGAATGGAAAAGAACTATAATTAAATGTTTTTGAATTCACACCCTGCTTTTTTTAACCTATATTAGCAGTTTTACTTGCTAAGTCCTTGACACTTTTGTTGTTTCTCTTTTAATTCCTAGTGTTTACTTTTATTATTCATGTTCTGGAGCCACATGCGCGCCCGATTATATAACCGTTTGCACAGCCTCCAGATTTGACTGTGTTATTTTTCAATCTGCTGCAAATGTGATGGTGAAAATGTGTTTGTACTACAGTCATTTTTCTGACTGCAATTACAAATTACATGACGTGACATTCAATGTTATGCCACTCATTGACAGGGATGTTTCCAACCCTCTCAGCTGCATTAAAGACATTTTTCCGTCCTGCTCACATCTGATGTTGTGCTGCTAAATGTCTGTGACAGTGGGTTGGAGTTTAGGAACCTTTGTTTGTTCCAAAGACATTCTGTTTCTTTTTGCTTCTGCATGTGCAATTGTTGTGTGGGTGTTTCTTTTTTCTTTTTTTTCTTTTTTTTTTTTTGCAACGCTGCGGCTGGTTCCCTGCCACTGACCGTACTTTGAACCAGCAGCAGCTGGGGTGTGAGCTGAGCGGAGCCAAAGATAGATGGCAAGAGGGAGCTAGAAAGAGAGACTCTCCCAGACTCTCTTTTTTTCCCTCTCTCTGCCTTTCTCTCTCTCTCCCTCTCTCTCTCTCTCTCTCTAGCTCTCTCCTCTCCTTGTTTCTGTCTGTTTTCCTTCTCTCACTCTTATCATTTTCTCTTTTGCCTCCCTGCCTCCTCCTCTTGTGTCACTGAGCTCCCTCTGATGCAGCTCCAAAAAGAAAAATGCATTCACAAATATTTGAACCCACATTTTTCTTGGCCTCTTGTCTTATTTCCAAGCACAAACTGTCCCAAGTCAGCAGCAGCAATGCCGTAATGTTTCCTTCAAATCCCACACTAAAGCATCAGTTTTGTGTGCGTGTGTGTGTTTTGTTCACACAAATGACTCACTGCTTCCCCAGACACACAGCTTCACATACATTTCCAAAAAGCAGTTCTTTTCAGCTGACAGGGTGGCCTTTTTAATGTTGCTGTTGGAAGTTGCTGAATTTTTTCTGTGCATCCTGTTCCTTTCACTGTTCCCACTGCGTTTTTCCACTCATCTTTCTGTAACCTTTCCTCGTGCCCCTCCGGTTTCTTTGGGCTGCAGCTCTTGTTTTACAGTCGGCTGCTTTTGTTTCCAAACAACGGATGTGACCAGCGCAATGAATGGAATCAAAACAAGGCGGAAGATGTGCAGTAACAATGGTAATGCAAAAAAAAAA